CAATGATAAAAATGAATGGGTTACATTGTTCTAATTATGACTCACTTTCTTATCGACAACACGAACCAGGAGTGCACGTAGCACTGATACCCTTTTTTTTTGCCTCGCCTAACTGGGTCAGAATGACCCACACATGGTCAAAAGTGTATCATTATTTGGACAATACCCTCTCATTTCTCTTAGTGCGTGCATCTAAAATCTGGTGCTTATTGTCCAAACGGGAATGTAGGCTGGAATGTGAGGGATCAGTCAATGGGTGAAGAGATGTCGACAACCCGCCTGCAGTTTGTGCTCTAGGTCCTCTAGAATCTAGATGGCAGGGATCCTCACTAAATATAAGGGACGGAACACCGGCGGCCACCAGTTGGCCGCCGATGAAACATCCCTGACCCAGGCTCAGCGATCACCTTTGATTTGGTAAAAGAATCACAATTTAAATTAACAATTGAATTTTAGTTGCGAAACAATTGAGTTTAAAATGTGATTTTTGGCTTTTAACGGTCTTAGTGAACGCTGGATCAGGCTCGATTTTTTTCTCTATGAATTGTGATGCAAAACGTTGCGAGCAAACGCAATTGATGCTTAATGGACTCGTTCAGTGATCAATTTGGTTGGGTAATTCATTTTCCAGAATTGAAATTGGAAATGCGGGAGCTTATGTATACTGCTAATTATAAAATATATATATAAAGCTGCACATTGTGAGCTCGGATGTCCAGGTTATCTGAAATGCGCTGCTCAGTTGCGCCAAACAATGCGTGTACAATATTTTGGGTCTGCGGGTGTAGCATCTGTCAAATATTAGAATATTATTATCAATTATTTTGTTTGGGATCAACGAAACTTGGAAGCATTCAGTGCAATACAATAATTTTGACCCGATTCCCCTGATTTTATAGCTTGTAGACGAACTCTTGCAGCATCTGGAGTTGAACTCTTGCAGCATCTGAAGACGAACTCTTGCAGCATCTGGAGACGAACTCTTGCAGCATCTGAAGACGAACTCTTGCAGCATCTGGAGACGAACTCTTGCAGCATCTAGGGCCGCAGCAGCGAACATACTTCCGTCAAGATTGGCATGACTTGCAGAAAAGTCAGCCGACCTTGACGTGGATGTCTCCTAATGTTTCCTAAATTTCGAGTGAGGAACCTACACTAGATAGATTATTTTACGGCTGTCATCTTATGCTTCGAACTGTTCCATAATTTCTGGGTATTATAATTTCTTCTATTTATTAATAAATTAAATTCTCTGTTCTCAAATATTGTTTTTGCGCTTGCTTCCAACATCTACAATACGTTGCTCTGTACAAATTATTTGATATTCAGGGATATGGAGCACGGGTATAATCGAGTATAATCAGTGTGCAGGTCAAGTGTTTGGTCAGGTGTAATCAGCGTGTTTGGGAATATCCAAGCATTTAGTTTTAATCAAAACTCTTTAGTGTCGCCAAATCAATTAATTTTTACGTAACTGTAGCACATGACCAGCGCTGTTTATTTCATGTTGATTTCACGTATTCTAGATCTTGGTTACGATTCTATCTTAATTTCATAATTATCAAAATCAGTTTATTAATATCTTCCAAGGTTCTTTCGTTTTGCCCCGTGGCGGTGTATATTACCTTGATGGATGAATACTGAGCGCGGTATGATGCAAGATCTGATTTTAAAAAAATTAGCAAGTACGGTAGCTATTTCGAGTAACTTCAGAATCCATTTTTTTTAAATAATACACAAGGTTGACAAATTAAACAAGTAATTCATGAGATTTGCGTTTATTAGGACACGCAGATCTACAAGTCAACAAGGTATTACATGATGCTCTTGTATAGCAAGAGATGTACATACGATACTACCCTATTACAAATCAGAGACGGGTTAGAAGCGTACAATGAACGGCCCTAATCCACCTAAGATTTCAATCAGGGAATGAAAAGATACATGTATTATATATAGTCACTCAAAACTGGCACATTTGACGTACGTATTTTTCGCTTATACTGGCACTAGAAAATCATTACTTCGATTAAACAAATTTTGTGGCCAATTTACATACAAATCTAGCGTTGTTTTCCATACTTCGAACGAATCACAATAAAAATAGTCAACATTAGTGAGTGACGATGGCAGAACATAAATTTTACACAATAAATTTCAACTCAATCTTCACACAATAGCTCACTCATTGTGATGGTGAGTAGCTATTTGGCCTTGTCGAACCTGCCAAACTTTTACGAAAAAATCATTTTGGACTCGACTACACACAGTAAACAGTCATTTTGTAGATAAAAAAAACTTCCATTTCTGCAATGAAGGACAGTTTAATTTGACAAAAAAAGCAATATTAAATCGAATTATGAAAGGGTTTTTCCTGGAACAGTTCAAACGACACGTGTTTTAGTTGCCTCTTGACCTCCTGTCACTCCCCCGCCATGAGGCAAGATTCACACCTAACCCATGCATGTTCAGACGCATTTCCAAACATTTCATGTTCAGACGCATTTCAAAACATTTCCAAGCGTAACTGCCGTGAGAAACATTAATCCATCAGCTGCTCAACGGAAGTGACACGTAAAATAAAATTTGTAAAATACTTGAGGGTAAAATGAGCATCGGACATCCATCGGCCGCGCCTAACCCACCTCTCATATTCATGGATTACAATGAACATTAGCACCCTAGGTCAGACATGACCGTACGGTTGTCACGATACAGCGTACCGGTACCAGTTTTGCATGCAGAAAGTGTGTCACTATTTAGACAATTAACTCCTCTATCATTTGAGTGTATGCTAGAAGATTGTTAATATCGATAAGTCCGTTGAGGTGACAATCTCTACAAGAAGATTCGAATATCAACCGCGAAAATAGACGTAATTAACGGCAAAATTAGAACTAATCAACGTCAAAACAACACAACTGGAACGTCATAAACTTCGAACTACGACCAAAACTTAATGATGCAAACGATTTGATCTTCTCAAAAGCAACTTTCTTATTGAACTAACAGATGCGAACGCAACGAACCTAACAAATTCGATACTCATTAAAACAGTGGATGGGATATTCATTATTTAGTTTACATTTTGCTGAGAAATGAAACTCGTATTTTTATTCTATTTTTTATGAGGAAACAAAAAATATTCTACTCAACCTTTTAGTTATACATGCCTAAGTGATGAACAATTCATTCATTAAGTAGCTTTGAAGTGAATTTTCAAATATTTTGAACGATGAAAAATATGAATGATGACTGCTGGGCTTACAACATAAGTTTTGTCAGAGGCAATGCAACCACAATTCAGTTTCGTTACTTTCTTGTGAAAAGTAAAAGTAAAAATTTAAGAAATAGTCGTAATTCTAGTGACGATTATAAAGCCAACGAATTAATTTATTGACATTTTCATATCATCGTCATTCATTTTCCTATCATTTCAGTTAAAAATTTTAACTTTCAATTTACACAAGGAGATACAATACATAGAAATTAGACAGGAACAAGCTATAGTTCTCAGTTGTACAATAGCATGATTACTAGCTGCCGTGGAGGAGGGGCAGCATAGTCTATATAATTAACAGTATATACATATATTGTTATATATGTGTAAGGTTATACGCTAATGCATACGTTATACTTAGTTAAAGCACACGTTATTAGTATACGTCCGGTAAGTTCAAGACGAGTGCATCCATCCTCAGTATAAATGTTTTCCAAACGAAGTTAATATAACCTATCTTTCTGGTTAATATAATGAAGGTTCTCTCGAAAAACGCAGATCGGTGGAATAACCGAACAATAATATAGATGAAGATACTCGACAGCAGTCAACACTCTACCCTTGTACCAACACTCTACCTTTTAATATTTATTAATGTTTGATAATAGCCTCAGTTCGTAGCATGAATGTTAGAGGCCAACATGAAGTTCGTAGCATGAATGTTTAATGCGGAACTTGATCCAGCACTTCGATGACACTCTACCTGAGAAGCGCTTCCAAATATAATAAGGAAAAAGGGAATCAATGTTGAATTACACATCGAGAGGGAATTCTGATCAAAATAATTATGGAACTTTATGAGAATTACATGAAATTACTTTTTAGTATTTTTAGATGAAACATGTACATTTTTTACCGAGAAGTGTTAATAAAATACTAAATATCAATTCCGAATAATGGTTAGCAACAATTATTAATATATGTAAACATTATTTCAGTACAAAAAAAATGTTCTCTGTCCTATGACCCACTCCCACGACAGAACTGGACGGAACAACTAATTAAATTAATTATGCTTCAATTTTGCAATTCCTTGTTTACTTCAAGAAAACTGAACAGTTAGCAACTAATAGTCCTAAAAAAGCCTGGGCCCATACTTTCAAAAATAGTTAAGAGATCGTAAGTTCATCAGCCAATCATTGACGGCATTTCAAGCAAAATCCACCAATCATAGACAAGAAAATAGAGCGTAAGTACTTACGTTCACTTAGCGAATTTTGAAAGTATGGCCCCTGGCATTTGACAGGTTTTCTTACAAGCGCAAACCACGAGCAGCTGCCAAAGTGAAAATAATATCGAAAATTCTGTGACATTTCTGCATATCAGGTAGCATAGATAACATAGCTGCCTACGTTGGGGATAACACATACATGATTTGCCTAAACGGAAATCTCAATATAAAATATTTAAATGCACCCGTGCTATATCGTATACAACGTCATCGCTATCTTAATTCTATCGCTTAAATATCAGTTGGAAATATGCCTGCTCACCATTCCTTACCACAAAAATTTAATAAATGCATTCTTAACTCAAATGTTACTCCGTTATCAAGATATTAATTACATTTATTTTGCACAAGTGTTCCGATAGAAATTACTCTATTACCGATACGTTTTATATAAAAGGATATTATCTGCTAAATATGAATCACAGGTAAAATGAACCAAGAATAAATATAATAGTCTCAAAATCATAAAAAACTAGCGCCAACAGTTGCTAAAAAATTCATTGCTGCAAATGCAATATGTAATGAAGAAAAATATATACTGGTGTACAGAGGACACAAGCGGGTTGGTGAAGCACAAGCAAACTCTATTTGTAATAAAAAACTACCAATAAAGATTTTTAAAAATACAAAATTAAAATTTAATTTAATCATATTTTGCTATTTGAATGATTGGCATACAACAACCAATGAAAAATCGAACCGAATTGAGGATAGTAATTGCGTTAAATATAGTTCGTTATGCCCTGGACACGGGTACGCCGAAGATAATTCCCAGCGAGGTGCTGTAAAAACTTTATTCGCAGGGAACCGTGACGCGAATGGCCAGTTTTTACGTACGATTTTCCTCACATTCCTTCGAAGGCCGCATACCGCAACGCATTCCATGCCACGCACCTAACACTTCAAGTTGGCATACTTGTAGCGCGCTCTAACTGCAGGAGAATGTTTATTAATACAGCTTGCTTCAACATAACATGAATAACCGATGTTTTTTATGTACTCGAAATAACTCGTGCAAATTGAGCAAAACGGAGCTAACGTTTTATGAACAAAATGGCAAGGTATTACGGAATTATTTCAACATGGCTAAAATTAAATGTAGAAACATGGTTCACCTTAAAAACTGGCTGTGCATGTTTGAAGAATCTTGATTTAAAAGGACGTTTCCTTTGTTATTTTGTTGATTTGAAGTCAGTAAAGCAATTCTGATAATAATACATGTATAAATTCAGAAATATATTATGCCATTCCTCCCAATGCTTAATCAAAATCCAATTTAAATCTATTGAGCAATAGGAACCGTGTTATTTTGGCCAACACGGTTAAGGTGCTGACAATTTCCGAGCGTTGCAAAACGGTCAAGAGTGATTGTAATAACATCGTATAACTTAATGTGCTTCATGTTCACTTGATAACTCTCAAATCCCAACGATAAGAGAAGCTGATAGCAACTAGCATGAAAATTTCCAAGTATTATGCAAGTTTTGTTCAGGTCCAAATGAGGAACATAATAGTTTTCTTAGAAAATGATTTAACGTATAGAACTGTACAGATTAACATGGCATCTTGCGCACGTATGTACACTTACATGTTACCACACGCAGTACGCTCGCTTATTACTTACATATCACATAGACGTACATATCTCGAATTCGCTAGCCAATTCTCACGTATGCAACGTAGACAACAGAGCATATAATATGTACACGAATTAATTGAATTACACTGCAATAGGTAAGCTGCTGCTGCACAAAACTGAAAAATTAAAACAATTTCAGAGAAATTTCTCCGGAGACATTTTTCCAGTCCATTCCATTGGTAGACGTAAAGAACTAAGTTTTTGGCACCATTTCTTGAGTAAATTAGTTATCTTCTTCAGCCCCACATTTGTTAAATAAAATAACTGCTTCGTTTTCTTTTCAAGTTCACTGAAGGATGATCACAATTATTCCTCCGAAGTTTCTCTCCAAAAAGGATCAAACCGAACTGAAATTCTTTAGGTTTGGTTTTCCTGCTCATGTCTGCCCGACGCCGGGGAATGCCTGAGGTCTGCAGGCGCCGCGTTCGGTCCCTAGCGTCTGCCACGTTCACGATCTGGCAGCACGATCGATCATGCCACTCGCTTGAGCCGCTGCTGGGACCTGCCACTCGCGTGGAACTCGCTGATCGTGAGGAAAGGTCATTACACTCGCATGAAAGTCATCACGAAGGTGTCACCACTCGCATGAAACACCCATCACGAGGATGGTCATGTCACAAACGAACAGTAAATGATGCAGATCTCATCAGTTTTTAATGATCAGTTCACAAACTCGCAAAGTTGAATTTTTTTCACGTTGCACGAGGAAGGTTGATGTCATTGCTAGACATAGTGAAACACATCAAATATCAAACTGCGTTCAATCACTTCACTTCATCGATCGTAAAAATGCAGAGAAATACTCAGCCGAAATATTGTGGTTTTGGCGTGAAATTCTGTGGAGTTTCAGACGGTGGGTTGGTGTTGAGGCGGAGGTGGGGTGAAATGGTTGGAGGTGGTAGGGACCAGTGGGCCAGGTTGCCGGGGAGTGTGTGCAGCGTGCAGGACTTTAGTAGGTAGTTCTATGGTAGCCTCTGGTCACCTCTTGTGCCACAGTCCCAAATTAAGGACATGAAGTCGTGGCAACTGCATGATTCTCTCAAGACCCACCGTGGTGATGCGATTACATCCGTACAAGTCAATGCTGTACAAATTAGTTAGATGTTCACTAATGAGCTGCAATCCTCTATCTGTCACTAGACCGCACTGTCCGATGTTGAGTGTGTCAAGTTCGTGTAAACTTCGACCGATGCGTTCGATTCCAGTGTCACTGATGTTACAAGCCGAGCAGGATAGTGAGCGCATCGAGTAGAGCCCTTGCGCGATGTGAACTAGGGCTTGGTCACCGATTTTGTCGCAGAACGAGACGTCAAGGGAGGTGATTCTTGAGCCGCCTTCTGCTAGGTATGCGATGCCCATGTCGGAAATGTTGTCACACGATCTAAGGTTGATTTCCTTCAGTTGGGGCATCCGTGCCAAGTGCTTGAGACCCGAATCTGTGATACTGGCACAAAAAGATAAATTTATGCTTACCAAGGACGGCAGGCCTTGGGATACGGACAAGAGAGCTTCATCAGAAAGCTTTTGGCAGTCTTGAAGACCAAGACACTGCAATGACTCGGTCCCGGAGCACTTGCTTAGATCTTGTCCACTTAGACTTGCTATTCCTTGATTACTGATGTGACAACACGACCGTAGGTCTAATTTCTTGAGTTTCTTCAGCCCCCACGCGATCATGGCGAGCCCTGCATTCGTTATGTTGCTGCAGCCACCAAGCTCGAGCTCCTCCAAGTTGGGCAGCATTTGACTGATGCGGTCCAAGGCCGAGTCGGTGATCTGCTTGCAGAGCGCGAGATCAAGGCGTGTCAGGGATCTGTGCGGCTGGTAGAACGCAAGGGAAAGTCCTATGTCAGTGATATTATAGCAACCCGATAAATTGAGTGACGTTAGCGTTGGTACTCCACTTATAACGTCGCGTAGGGAACGTCTAAGCGACAACACCTGCACGCGACGTATGCCTCGCCGAACCATCGAAGGGAACAGCGACGGGTTAGCTCTCCGCAGGTGTATTCTTGCTTCGACGCCTCTCCACACGCCCTTGTGGTATGAAGCATCTCGCCACGCACTGCACACTCGGGCTACACGACCTTTTTCTCTCACATCCAAATAACTGAATATCATAGCAAGAATCTCGGGATATAAGCAAGATATGTGAGTAGTGGACGCGCACACTGTGTCACCCGCGCTCTCCTCCATCTTGACTGACTGAAATTTCTGGCCGGAGCTGTTGCTCGAGTGTGTTCGGTCACGTGGTCGACGTCCTGGCTTGGGATTGGCTGGATGCTGGACGCGCTAAGTTTAAACACAACCAATCACGAATCAGGTATACTGTCGAAATGATGTGAAATTTTGAGTTTTCGTTCAGTTTCAAAATGTTTTGGACAGATGCTTCTAAGTTGATGGTTAAATTCTTCTCTACGTAATTTATCAACAGCTGATATCTGATGATCATAAAATCACCATTATTTGGGAAATGAAGTTTAATTCCTTAACAACGATTATTGCCCGTTTACTAAGTTAATAAAGTTGAACGTAGTTTCATTATCGTTATTTTCGTGCGCGGGACCGAGGAGAAAAATTTGGGGGTGAGTGGATGGTCTGTGGGAGGCAAGATCCCCGCCTCAGTGGGGTGACTGGGAATATATTGGACAGCTTGCGAGCAAGAATGGCACGCAACTCACACGGGCCCATGTTATTTCTACGAGCGTAAGTTACTGGATAGCTTTTCGGTTCGCTATCTGAAATGAATTGCTCTTGGGAACATGGCAGGCATAAGAGTTGTGAATTACGTTTCATATCGGGCATTTGTGTGCTTCATGGAAGCTTCTCCTCAAATGTTATTCGTTGAATTTATTTTTCAGTGCGCTCTAGATTTATTTTTTTGCATTTTTATTCCTGCAGCACCCCTGAAATATATTTTTTTCAACCTACACAATGTTCTTCGTTATAGCTGGCATGTCCTTCTTGCCTGGAGGCTGCTCTGTGGAATGTTTAGGATAGGGAGGAGGGACGGGGATGTGGGAGACGGAGGGGGTTACGGGAGGCGGGAAGTACATGAGGCATGAGAGGAAGGGGCTGTAAACCGTGCACAGAATATTCATAATTTCATGGTTCCCACGTTACAGTGTACCATTTATTTTCGAGCATGAATTAAGGCTGGCATTCAGCAATATTGAGTTTTATACAACTTGAAAAACAAAGAAGTCTTTATAATATATGTGTATAGCGCTCGAAATAAATTACTTTGAAAGTACAAGGAAAATGCAACGATGGTCACCGAAATGACATTAAAAATATAAGGAAAATGTGGCAATGGGCGCCGAGAAAGGTTAATATTTCAGAGATCAAAAAAACAGTTCAATATTGTCATATTGAAACATTAATAGAAATTAGAATTCTTTGTTCCAAAGTTGAATCTAAAATCGGGTTGCTAGTGTTATTCAGTTGTGCTCGTTTTCAGTTTCATTTTCTGCAATTTTTTCTCTCACTCAACATTTCCCAAATCAAGAAGAAATTTTTACCATATCCTTACAATTTTCCACGTTTCCTTCATTTTAACCGAATTTATATATTTCACATTACGCGATTTCACCCCCCCCCCCTCCCATGTCATCCTCATTCCAATTTCAGGAACACAGGAGGCCTCCCCTCCCCCCCCGGTCCTCGTGGGGGGCACCGGTCTGCTTAATTAGCGGGTCTGGAATTTCACGCCGCGCTAAAAAAAAAAAAAACTAATTTTTACAAACGCTGCAACAAGACCGCCGCCGTGCCCCTGAATTTTGTTCACATATACAATTTTTATTATTCATAAATAGTGTTACAATATTGCAGTGATGTAAGATGTTACACCCCTACAGCTACAGCCATATATTATAGTGTTACAATATTGCAGTGATGTTACACCTCTACAGCTGCAGTGTTACATACATTATATGTTACATTATAGTGTTACAATATGCAGTGATGTTACACCCCTACAGCTACAGCCATATATTATAGTGATACAATATTGCAGTGATGTAAGATGTTACCCCCCTACAGCTACAGCCATATATTTATAGTGTTACAATATTGCAGTGATGTTATACCTCTAGAGCTGCAGGGCCAATTACTGTGAACTTGTTTGCACGCAGTATTCAGACAGTAACTATTCTGTATGAACAAGAATAGATCATTCAGTGTTGTGATACATTAGGTTACTCATCGATATTTTTTCTGCAATTACACCTCTTCCATTTTACTTTCATTTTTAAATAACGAACTTTAAAATTAAATTGAAGTAAAATTAAAATTATATATTGATTGAAGCTGGGCGCGTTTTTGGGGTGGGAGGAGGAATGTTGGAGGTGACGTCAGATGTTATTCATGTGGGGAAATGTTGGGGGAGAGGGGGTGACTTTGTTTCTCGCCTGGGGAATGCGTCAATTCCCCGTCATGGGAATGCGTCAGTTCCTCGCCTAGCTAAGGGAATACGTTGGTCTCTCGCCTGGGGAATACGTTGGTCCCTCGCCTGGGGAATACGTTGGTCCCTCGCCTGGGGAATGCGTAAGTTCTTCGCCTGGGAAATGCGTCAGTCCCTCGCCTGGGAAATGCGTTAGTCCCTCGCCTGGGGAATGCGTCAGTCCCTCGCCTGGGGAATACGTTGGTCTCTCGCCTGGGGAATGCGTCAGTCCCTCGCCTGGGGAATGCGTTGGTCCCTATATTGAGGAATGCTTGCGTCTGTCCCCTGGGGAGTGAAGCAAACCTGCTTTGTTATGGCCTGGCTTCAGGAGACGCAATTTTTTCTCAGTTTAACGAAGCTCACGAGTTCTACGACGGTTATAAGGTCTACGACGGTCGTAAGGTCTACGATGGTTGTAAGGTCTACGATGGTTGTAAGGTCTACGATGGTTGTAAGGTCTACTACGGTCGTAAGGTCTACGACGGTCGTAAGGTCTACGATGGTCGTAAGGTCTACGACGGTTGTAAGGTCTACGCGGTCATAAGGTCTACGATGGTTGTAAGGTCTACGACGGTTGTAAGGTCTACGATGGTTGTAAGGTCTACGACGTTTGTAAGGTGTACGGTTCTCGTATATGTATTATACTATGCCCGTAATTATATAAGCGTCGGTTTTCGGTGGCGGTTAGACGAATTATTGAAAATGATGAAATTTTTCGACGCAATCAATCCGGCTTTGATTTCTGTGTGATGATGAGCTGTTATGGATTAATCAAGTCATAAATATGACAATCCTTTAATAATTAATTCATGATAACAGTTGATGAGACAAAATGAACGTGTACAGAAAAACTTATAATGCATCAAGCGGTCACATTTTCCCCTAAACTTGGAAAGCTTGGCTTTTTACATGTCGCTCGCGTCCAGGTGGCGGAAGCTTGCGCTCTTAAGGGAGCGTGGAGGGGGGATGTTTTACCCCCCCCACACACTTCCTTCCTGTCCCCCTATTACCTTTTCCCACATATTATTTTCCTGTCCCCATATTACATTTTCCCACATAATATTTTCCTGTCCCCATATTACCTTTTCCCACATATTATTTTCCTGTCCCCATATTACATTTTCCCACATAATATTTTCCTGTCCCCATATTACCTTAGCGCGGTGAGTTGTGGGAGCAGGCATGGTGAGTTGTGGAAGTATCAAGGAGAAAGATTCCAATTATGCTACGAGAAACTGGAAGTAAAATAAAGTTCAGTCTAGCTAGCTCTAGCGCAAGCTAATGAAAAAAAAAAAAACGGAGCAGTTTGTTCGCGGAGTGAAATGACAATTCAATCAACAATCTTATGATCTATTAACAAAAATTAATTTTAAAGCAAAAAAATTAACAAAGATTCGCCATCAGTTTATGAAGAAGAGTATTTCATCGTTCTATCGTCATTTCGTCTTTGACAATAATAACATCTGTGATACTTACTGTAAATGGATTTCAACGAAATCCTTCAAATTCCTGGCAAAATTACAATTGAATCGATTAAGTAATCTCTGTAATTTTCAACCAGAAATATGAAATTTATATTTTCTATACTATTATTACATATAATAAATGTTCATCTTCCGTAAATTCTAGGGAAAATTCTTTTGAATATAAATTCGCTGCTATTTTGTTACAGTCTATGCGTAAACGTTGTCGTATGAAGTTTTCTCTTTCTAGAGTGGAAAGAAAACGCTGTTCATCGAAATTTTGGGGAGAAACTCAAAAGAAAGCACTCGACTGTCTGTCTAAAATTGAACTAACACGGTTACACCCGAGTTGCTTTGCCACGACCTACCAATGATAAGCTATTGGCTTACAACGTTTTTGCTTCAATCGACATTTTTAAAATAATTTTTGTTTCGGATATATTAAAAAAAAAACAGAAAACTTTAGAATTCAATAGTATGTTAGCACCACGAAAAATTCTGCCGCTCTGGAATCTGTATTACAGATGTAATTCAGACCAGATTTGGTTGTATTTATCGATCACTTTTTGCCATTTTGATTAGTCTATGCGAGACGCTCTGGGAGTCAATGTGTTGTGAAATTTATATTCAGTATTCAAATGTACATCGTATTCAGTACCGTAGTTTTTGCTAGTACATTATTTTGAATGAGAAATATTAACCATCGGCAGAACTGGATCGGTTCTTGCACTGTTGAGATCGAAAAGCTAACGTTCTCTTTCTTGGTAAGTATTTAGTTTCTTTACGTGTATGACATATGAATACATTCCCTTGATGTTGCTCGTAAGTATGTTGTATTGCAGTATTATTTTGAATGTTGCGTTCTTGTATAATAAAGCCGTGGAGACCAGTCATCTTTTGTTTAGCTTAATACACTATGTAGAATATACACTATATAGAATATACAGTCTATGCTCAGCGTGGATATTGAACATTCAAATTTAAGCGATACCAACCGATGTAAGCGAATTTATTTTAGAAATTATAATTAAGTTCAGCAGAAATGCCTAAGAGATTGAATGGTCACCAACGAACCATCTTATGAAGGTGGTCGGGTATTTACAAACTCGGCCATTAAAATGAGGTATTTTGTACAAGATTTATGTTTTAAAAGTAATCCTGTGCTGCAGTATGTTGCATAAAACTCTTTTTCTATTTTAATATTGTTTGGAATTTTGAAGCTTCCGCGATAAACTTGCTTCCAAAGATCTTGCATACTACCCTCTTATGTTGTAGTTTAAGATGACTTATTA